TCCTCTTCATTCCTCTCCTCCCTCTCCTCTTCATTCCTCTCCTCTCCTCTCCTCTTGTTCCTCTCCTCTCCTCTCCTCTCCTGTTCATTCCCCTCCTCTCCTCTCCTCTTCATTCCTCTCCTCTCCTCTCCTCTTCATTCCCCTCCTCTCCTCTCCTCTCCTCTCCCCTTATTCTCTCCTCTCCCCTTATTCTCTCTTCTCCTCTCCTCTCCTCTCCTCTCCTCTTATTCTCTCCTCTCCTCTCCTCATCGCTCCTTTCCTGCCCTGCCCTGCCCTGTCCCCCTCCTTGCTTGTTTCCTTCACACCTCATCTCTCCTTCATCACACATAGCAAACAGTCAGTTTCTATGTTGGAACTTTCCACCATTCCTTGCTCAGCTAATCGTCAATTCAAGGTTTACCACTTTTGTTCAAATTTCATTGATTAATCCGACATGTTCACAAGTTATCTACATCAATACATGACATGACAAAGTCCAAGATTTTCCTGAAGCTTTCTGTTGAGAATCTCGCTGACTTGTCTTGAATTTTCTGTTCTCATAGTCAAATCACTTGCATCAGTTGCATTCTCACTCACCCGCAATATTTCCTGAGCTTTAACTTGCATCGCACTTCTAGCGATCTCTGCATAATCTCCCGTTTGGAGATTGCTGAGACGACAAGTCAGTCTTGACATGATCTCGTTTGTAACAAATATGGCAAATTGTAAGGAAGATCATATCACCTCAAGAAGATGAAGAGGAGAAAAAGGAACTGATGATAAAACTTTCTCTCCTTCTCTTGGTCTTCATCTGAGCACAAATCACAAACTGCAGGTTAACAAGTTTTGTCCATACATGTACAGTTGGCTAGACAGGAGAACAGGATAACGTGTCCATCATTTGCCTTCATCTAAAAAGCATCACCTTCAAGCACTATGGAAACAGCAACAACCTGGTTGACGAAGTTGTTCAATTCTCTTTCTTGTTTCTTGCTGATTGTATCATGGGGAAAGTCGTCGTGATTTGCTCCACAGAAAGCCAAAAGAACTCTGAAGGGGAAACAAGTCAATCCAATCATCGTCGTCGTCGTCGTCATCATCATCATCATCATCTCCATCATCATCATCATCTACCTGCAAAGCTGGACTGCAACGTCTGGTTTCTCAATCAAAACGCTCATCGCCGTCAAGACCTGAAAAGTTTTCATTCGTCAACAGCGATTTTCACAACAATGAACACAACTTTCTCACCACAACCACAAGATCTTCACTCTCCATCTTCTGCCGTATGATTGTATGCTGTGCAAACTGCACAAGAATCTCTCCCGCTAGTAGAACTTCTCTCAAGACATGTTCACTCGCAGGGTCGACAGAACGCAACACGTCATAGAGGATGCGATGGACGTCGAGGACGAACATAGGAGGCAAGTTGGATCTGTGCTGAGCAAGTGCTGAAAGCATTTCGAGCGATCGGATCTTTGACAAGGTGCTGATGTTACTTCTTCTCAGCTTGTCAACAACGTTCTCCAGGCCAGATTGAAGACGAGGTGTATCACATGATGATGAATGAAACTGGAGATGTGTTGATTGTTACTGAGAGAATTCACTGGATGAGAAGAGATGGTGCTTACATCGTCATCGTTGATCGTGCTTCTTGTGCTGCACCTGCGTTGAGATTGTTCTGATTCTTGATGATAATGATTGTGTTGGTGATGATGATTTCGTTGCAGCTCCTCTGAATGTTGTTGTTGATGTTGTTGTTGATGATGATGATGAAAATGATGATGTTCTTGTTCTTCTTGTCTTTGTTGCAAAGAGTGCAGTTGCAGATGCAGGTGAGGTTGAGAGTTTGAGGAGATCTTGTACTTTCTGTCTCTGAAACTTTTTCTGCAGGTATCCTGACGAGCTTGCGATGAAATCTGAGAAGAAAAAATGAGGATGTTTGCAAAGATGGTGGTAATGATGACGATGACGATTACGATTTCGATTTCGATGATGATGATGATGATGATGATGATGATGATGATGATGATGATTTTCCGTCAGACACTTACAAGTTTTCTTTTCGTCTCCCTCTGCACCAGCTTTCTCCTTAAGAAGCTTTGAATTATGATGATTCCTTCCTCCCAAAGCCTCCAGCCCTGTTCACATCAGCAGCAAACACAACAAACAGTCACAGCCAGCCAGCAAGCAAACATCTCTTACCTTGATTGATGATCGTATCTTCGTATCTTGTTCAACAACACCTTTGTCTGCATTCTCATCTTCTGTCGACATCTGATCTTGAGAGCAAGAAACAAGAGATGACGATGGGTAGCAGGACTCATGGGAGGAGTACTCGCTGTCGTCTGTTGTCTTCAGCAGGTCGCTGAAGTTGGAGTCGTCTTCACTCCAGGATAGCTCCTGGAGAGCAAAGGAGGAATGATCAGAGGAGTTGCAAGTAAGAGATGAAGGAGGAGGGAGGAGGAGGAGGAGGGAGAGGAGATAGGTGACGGCAGTGAGGAGGAGGAGGAGGGAGGGGAGATAGGTGACGGCAGTGTAGGAGGAAGGGGAGGAATGGAGGACAGTAACAGGAGAGAGGTTTGTGTGCAAGGAAGGGCTATTATCGCATGCTCACATGATGGATCGCGTCTTCTAGCACCACACACTCAGCAAGGACTGGCGCCCAAAGTTTCTTGGTGATGGCCGCAGGTGTGCTTGTTTGACAAGTCAACAACTCTTTCCCCCTTTGCCCGACAGAGCTTCTCTTGAACGTTTGCTCGGATATTACTTTGCCGTATGACCCAACAAACGTCTTGCGATCGCAAGTAGACATCGTGTTGCGAGCATGTCGAGGGGTTTGCGATGTTGTTGGTTTGACATCTTTCCCAACGCTTTCATCACTGACATCCCTCTTCCTTGCTCCTTCCATGACATGTTCTTCTTCTGTCTCTGCAACTTTGCGCATTATTCTCTTCAAGATGCTGTCTGCTCTCTCAACAACTTCATGCGTCCTCTGCGCTTGCAGCGCAAGCCTGTTTGCGATGACGTCGTGCTGTAAAATCTCACCATCTCCTGACTGTTTCCCCCCACCCCCCTCCTTCATCCTCGTTCTCCGTGAGCTATGTGCAAAGGCAGCACGGTCACCATGTTTTAGGATGGGAGGGTGGAGTGGCATTGTTGAGCTCGGTTGAATGTCACTTGTGGTGTTTGCAGCATGACTTTCTCTGCTGCTCATAACCAACAACACGCATCAGTGAACATCATCAGTACACGTGTTACGAATGTCCAACCTTGAAGTTTGATGACCATTTCTAGCTTTGGTTGGCAAAAAACGCGGCGTGTCCATTCTTTTCAACCTTCTTTGAGATTTTCTTGGTTTCGGTTGCTTTCCCACAGGCCCCTTCACATCTGCCTCATCAACTTGTACTTGCCTCTGCCTCGTACTGAACGCAAGACAATTCAGAAAGCAAACAATGGATGACAGGACAGGACAGGACAGGACAAGGGAACATCAGTTATGTGAATACAAGGAACGACTCTGTGCACAGATAACATGCAGTCATGAACCTTGCAGGAAGTTTCGATGCCTCATCTCTCTGCGAATACCAACGGAGATCAGAGAATCATCAGTCAGAAGAAATCACCCACGTTATCAACAACCTTGAGGTTCAGAGCTGAGCGCCAAGAAAGAGTTAAAGGTGCAAACATGTCAAGACACATGTCAAGACAAGCTGAACTCACCTCCTGTTGTTGGGATTCGCGTGAGGGATCGAGAAGTTGGGGGACGTTGAACAAGATTGCGATGGCTGGGTGACAGCTGACGAGCAGATTGTGGGCGAATCGAATTTTCTGCATGCTGAAAGAAACGTGTCAAGGATGGCTTGTAAATGTCTGTGAGATGCAAGACAGAACCATGAAAAAAGAGAGCACAGCGAAGTCTGATCAAGTATAACAACAAAGGGAAATTTGTCTCTCCTCCTCGCCTCCTCCTCCTTCCCCTCTCCTCTCCTCTCCTCTCCTCTCCTCTCCTCCTTCCCCTCTCCTCTCCTCTCGTCTCCTCTCGTCTCCTCTCCTCTCATCACTCCCACACCCACCTTGACTGGCACACCATCCTTGCTCTTGGACACCTCAACGCCTCTCTTCGCCATCTTGGGCGCAAGCACAGCCCTGCTGCTTGTCATATAACTCTGTATCAGCTCCACAACCTCCTCCACGTTGGGGAAATGGTTCTTTTCGAGCTTGCTGAAGACACTGATCGGACTAAGGAACGTCTCTCCCCTTGCGACCAGCGCCAGTTGGACTTCGAACGAGCTCCTCCTCGGATACCCTGCTGAGCAGAGCACGGGTCCGTAAGATATCCTCCGCAAGATTGCTGAAGTACAGACGGGGAGAGGGCCTGTGTTTTCAAGGACGATCACCCTTGGGAAGGAGACTTCAAGGGTCCTGGCGAGCTGGTAGCTGATCCTCTCATACAGCGCGTCCTCTCCCGAAGTATCCCGCTCGATGAACACGACGGTAGCATGCTCCTGCTCGGCCGATAGTTGCATGCCGGCGGAGAGGAGCTCAGGGGTCATGGAGGTGCAACCTCGTCATGGGCTGTAAGTTTGCGATGGTGGAAACTAAGACTGACGCCATGTCTGACATGATTTGTTGTTGTGCACCTGAGGATAGGGTTAGCTGCACCTCCTCCTGTCTCCCTTGTCCCTTCGCCATGCCTGCTCTGTTTGCCTTCTCTTACTCCTTCATCCCTCTCTCCTCCTCCTCCTCCACTCCCTCACCGTCGCCATGGCCGTTGATTCCCGTTGACCTGCTGGACCCGTTCATGACTGATGGTCTGAGGGGGGATGAGGTTATGTTAGAGTCGTTTAATTAACTGAGAGTCACTACTCTGCTGGTAACCCACAACACCATCCTTGCGGCAGGCCATGGTGCTGCCACTGAACTTGTCAAGTGACAGTGAACGGACTCCCGGATGGAACGGATCCCGTGACATGTATGGAAGTGCAGGCACAAGTTGATCATGTGGATTGGGAGAAGAGCGACATGTTGATTTGAAAGATAGAAAGATAATACAAGAATGCCTACAGTACGCTGCGGGATGTAGACCTGCAACAGAACTTGAAGTGAATACGGTGATGATGATGATGATGGTGATGGTGATGGTGATGGTGATGATGAACAAGAAGATGGTGGTGATGATGGTGGTGGCGGAGGAGGAGGACTCGAGATGGGCCGAGGGCGGAAGAGGAGGGGAGAGGGAGGAAGGCGAGAAAGGTAGGAGAGGTCACCGGATACTCCGCACTGGAGCTCTAGCTGACTTGTTGCTCCTCCTACATCCAGAGACTCAGCTGGAAAAAGAGATGGATGGATGGAGGGAGGGAGGGAGGGAGGGAGGGAGGGAGGGAGGGAGGGAGGGAGGGAGGGAGGGAGGGAGGGAGGGGCTGACCTTGACCCATCATCAGCTGGAGGATTCACCTGGCCAGGCTCAGAGGTCAAACTTCTCCAGCTCAGACTCCAGCAGAGGCAGAGCAGCTCACCACCGGCGCGTAGATGTCAAGGCGAGATCGGACTATGGGAGGCCCTCCACCGTAGATGGAGAAGAAGATGTCCCAAACCTGCGGAGATGATGATGATGATGATGCTGATGATGATGATGATGATGATGATGATGATGATGATGATGATGATGATGATGATGATGATGATGATGATGATGATGATGATGATGATGATGATGGATTGGAGGAGGAACAGGAGCAGGAGCAGGAGGTGCAGGAAACGAGGGGAGAGGGGTGCTGAATGATGTGCAAAAGGATGAGATCAGGATAGGGTCCGGGGGTTGGAGAGGAGCTGAGAAAGGACAAGGGAATAAAAGGGAAGGGAAGGGAAGGGAAAAGAAGGGCAGGCGGGTCAACCTGTTTGTTCACTCCCCTATAGTGAGTCCCCTTGTCAAGCCCCTGAGCAGGATGGTCAGAAAAACGTCTTCCTCCTCCTCCTCTTCTTCTCCATCTAATTCTTCTTCTGCTAAATCCTCTTACCGTCTTAGGGGTGACCCCGTCCTTCTCCAGAAGGTCTCCGTTGGATATGGGCCCCGGTACCGCCCCGAGCTGTGGAGGAGAGTAAGAAGAGCCGACGAAGAGAGAGGGAGCGGAGGAGGGAGGGAGGGAGGAAGGAAGAAGGACAGGGTCAATCAGGGGGGGGGAAGAATGGGAATAAGGCGGAAGTGACAGAACGGGGGAGGAGAGAGAGAGTGAAGGGAGGGAGTGGAAGGAGGACTGAGAAAGATTGGACGGAGGGAGGAGTCGCAGGAAGGGAGAAAACCTGATCTTGATGTACGAACGATAACCAAGATTGCAACCATTTCTTGTCAATGATGTACCAGGACTGGCCCGAAACATGTCAGGTTGTTGAAAGAGCAAAAACATCGCCAAGTGATTTCTCTTCACCTGCCCTGGCTCAATGTATGTCTTGTCATGTTCATGCACCTGAAACATCCCTTGGTCAGCCAGCACATCGCAACAGAAAATCTACAGCAGCTCTCACCAGCCTCTGCTCGTAGTCCCTTCGCTGCATCAGCTCGTATTCGTCCTTCATGCACTGACTGCATTTCTGACGCCCCAGATCGTTAGCAAGGCACCATGTTGTCAAGGCTCTTCCACCTCGATGCGGTTCAGGATGGGACCTCCCTTGTACTTTTCCAACAGCTTCTCCCACGCGGAAAGTGGAATCGGTCGGAGCTACATGCACATCACATGGCAAGCATGGTGCTCGCACCTGGACGCACCTTCTTCTCGTCCTCCTGCTTGATGTGTATCCTCTCATGACTGCACATGAACGGGTGATGGTCTATCGGCCCAGGGTGGAGCATGTGCAGGAAACGAAGGAGCCACAGTCGCGAGATGTAGACTCGCTCCTCCTGGAGCGATCAACCATCAGGCAAGTGCGAGGTAGAGAGAGGAGGGGCGGGAAATGAAGTGAGATAGGGTTGAGGGGGGAGCGGGGGGTTGGGACGAAGGTGGGATGTAGGAGATAGGGAGACGGAGGTAGCAGGTGAAGTAGAAGACAGGAACAAGGGAGGTGCGGTATAGGGAAGTGTGGTGTGTAGAGGTAAGTAAGTAGGGAGGGAGGAAGGTGGTCAAAGGTATGTGGGGGGGTGGTCGAGAGGTTCTGCTGCTACCTGCGACTCTTCGTCCTCAATCAGTTTCTTGACATCTTCCCTCTCTTGCTCCTTCTCCTGCTCTGCTTGTCAAAATAGTCGTCGTCTCAATATACAACTCACACCTTTGGAACCCTCAGTTTGTAGAACAGCATGTAGCCTTCGAGCTTGTGGACCTGTTCATCCTCTTACCCTACAGTGCAGAACAGGCAGCTATGTATGCAGGAAAGAGAGGAATATGAGAGAGAGGTGAAAATGAGAATAATTGAGAATGTTTCTGCAACTTACATCTGCCCCAGAGATTGTATTGACTTGAGAATCGTTGAACTCAAACCATTTGCCGTCAGAGTTGTTTCGAATGTATGCGATATAGTGTCCTCCATGCAACGCTCCCCTTCGGAAAAGTTTCAGTAAAGGACAGCAACCCAGAAATTAGGGATGCACTCTGGCATCGATGACGAGAGAGCAAGAGAGGGAGAAGAGTGAATCGAGTGTTGGATCGGAGGGAGGGGGAGAAAGGAAGAAGGGACGAATGGGATGAAAGCAGTGGAAGAGAGAGAGAGAGAGACAGGAGAGAAGGCTGAAAAGGAAGGAAGGGAAGAGTGATCAAGGGAGATTCGGCGAACCTGTGTTCAATTACAGCAAGCAAATCATAGATTGCGTTCTCCTGTTCCTCCTTGAATTCTTCTGAGGTCTGTAAATGGCAAGTGTCAGCTCTATTGGATCCTTTAGAATGACCAAGCAGGGAGAGTATGGGGAGTGAGTGAGTGAGTGAGTGAGTGAGTGAGTGAGGGAGGGAGGGAGGGAGGGAGGGAGGGAGAGGGGGACTGAGTGAAAGGGAATAAGGTTTCAGAACCAAGAGAGACCATAGTCAGGCATGCTAGTAGGAAAGTCACCTTGATGAACGGGCGCATGTCAAGGCCCTTGATGGGGAACTGAATGTGCTCTGAGATCTTGGTTCCCATGTTGTTTCCAAACAGAGACTCGTAACGAAACCGCTTCAAGTGCAAGGTTAAAACTTCCGGCGGTTTCAGCAGAGACAACTTCTTTGTACAGTCTCGGAACTGATCGCAGTGTTCACATTTGTACTTGTCATTCCCCGTCAAGTGCTCTGGCTCATAGTACTGCAACAAACAGTCCTGCAGCGAGATGTTCACATTCGACACCGACGAGAACATGCCGATCAGGAACGACAGCCAACTGTTCTGCGCGCAGGTCACGTTCTGGTTCTCAGGTTCCTGACTCTCTGAAGCTTCCTCCGACTCCACACTCGCCCGATAGTTCTTGTGCGCGCTCAGTAACCTTTGCCGGGCCTTCTTGCTTGGGATGGAAATGCTCTGATCGAGAACCGGCTCCTCCGTCACTGATACCTTCCCGCAGTGGTTGCACTTGACCTCGCTGATCAGAACCCCAGCAAAGATGTCAAGGACGATGCTGTTGTGCAGCCTCTTCTCATGCCTGTGTGTCTCTTTACTCTTCGACTCAGCGTTCCCGTTCTCCGGCGACCTCTGCGACGGGCTCAGAGACCCGTTGTGGGGGTGTCCGAGCTCTCCCTTGACGTAGATGTCGTCCTTCTTCTGCACCGAGCTGCTCTTCTGTGCCTCAGAGGAGGCGTCCAGCGGCCGTTGGTGCAGGAACGGCGTTGATTCCTGTAGCTCCTCATGCAGAACGTCAAGGGTCCTGCGCAGAAACTCCTGAGCGTCCTGCTGTCCTAGCCCCCGGTAGTCCGGGTTCAAGTCGAGGACGTCGCGGACGAAGTTGTGAGGAGACGCTACCTTCAGCCCTTCATCCCACACCTGGTACACGATGTCTGCAAGGCTGTGAACCATCCTCCTCTGCGTGATCGCCCGCGAATTCCCCACCTCGAGCCGCGGGGGGATGAAGTCCGCGCAGTCGACGAAGAACCCGGCGAAGGAGGGGGTATGGACGAGCACTTGGACAGGAGCGTTCAGGTAGCACGTGTTCCCAAGGTTGGGCAGCCCGCTCAGTCCCTTGAGCGTTCTCGAGCACCCGTTCCTCCTCCTGTCTCTCTGGTGGTTCCCAGACTGTGACCTGTCTTGCCCTGGGCTCTCAACTTCATCCTCTGAAGCATCTTCCTCCATCTCGTCGGCGGAATCTACTCTCTTGTCTCTGCTGTCAGAACGGAGTGACGACATGGACGTCTCGTGCAGCTACCGCGCGCCTTGCCCACCTTTCCAATGACCCTACCTCAGCCTAGCCGCTAATGCAACCCCAGCGCTGAAGTTGTTGCGTCCCCCCAACACGGAATGCTCATGGATCAACGGGCAGCCCTTGTGAGCTGTTCCATGCTTCAAAGCGGATGGATCGTCCATGTCAAGGATCCATCTCTCACACTCAGCGCCCATGCATCCCTGTCCGATTCCTACATAGCCAGAATTTCAGATCAGGTGACAGGCAGCATACAGGACGATCTTGCTGAGCTGTTCGAGCATGCACACACCACCCCATCATTCACGTTGAAAATCAACTAGAAATGTCTTCAAACACATGAAGCAAACATCATTTCATCGCGGACCCTTCCTCTGCTGCCTTACCCAAACCTCCATGACCTCCGCCACATTTTCCTCACAACAAACACTACAACTTCCTCTCTGTCCTCTTCACCTCCAATTCCGATACGTATCATTCACTGTGAACTTCCCTGCTTGCACAATCAATGCCTTCAATAGGTCCTGATTCCTGCACAATCCCCATGGATCCTCTTCTTCGACCTCTCTCCTGCCCTCAGCTTCTTTCCCCCCTGCCTCTTGTCCTCCAGCATACGTCATACACCATCCTTTCCTCTTCATCTTCATCCTCAATTGCACTGCCTCCTCCTCCTCCTCCTCTCTTTTCCTGCTCCCCTTCCCTTCGCCATTTTTGGCTTGCTTCTCCGCTCCTAGCCATGAAGAAGGCTGGGTACATAAAAGATTGGGGGTTGGGGTACTACTTTGGGGTATGGTAGGGTAGTCAAAAAGTGAGGGTGGGGTGATACCTGACAACGCAAAAGTGGGGGTGTTTGATTGAAAAAAGAAGGGTAGTGGAGATCAAAGTAACAGGAAGTATCAGGGGTGGGGTGGAGGAAGCAGGGAAACAGGGGTGTAATATTTATTGGGTGGAGAGCAGATGGAGGGTGGTAGTTATTCAGGGGTGGACTTGGATAGGGTGGGTACTATTGGTTCCATGATAAGCCATGAGGGGTAGTTTTTTCACAGAAATGGACGGGTATAGACATTGAATTCAAGGGAAGGGTGTGAGATCCAATTTCTGGGGTCGTGAGCTCATGGGGTAGGGTCAGAAAATATTGGGTACTCAGAATTCTATCAAATGGTGGGTACTCAAAGGTAAATCTTGGGGTACTACCACATCAAGAACTCTATCTGTGGGGGTCCCGTGTGACAAGCCAGGGGTTTAACATGGAAGGGTGCCATTTACAACTCAAGGTATAAAAAGTAGGAATTGCTCCACACCACCCACCCTATCTTGTCAGCATTTCATCCACCATGGACTCCTCCGCTCTACCCCACTGGCGGCTACACCAACCACCCACCCCTTCATGACAAGTTTTCATATCCCTCTGCAGTACCCACCTCTATTCCAGACAGTAGATTACCTCACCAGTACCCCACCCTAGCCGAGCCTCTACCCCCTCCACCCATCGTGAATCTGCGGGTGAATTGCAGAGCTGGACCTATCCTGACTTCATCCTACTTTTTCAATCGTCTGAACACACTTCGTCAAAGTTTGCCCGACATGGCTGACGGCGCCGTCATGGTGCGGGAAAGGCGCAGGAGGAGGGCGGGAGACATGCTGGGGGGGGAAGCAATGGTCAAGGAGGAGGAGGAAGAAGAGGAGGAAGTGGAACGATGGCAGGTTACAACGTTGTCCTCCCGTGGAGGGCTTGTTCTCGCCTCTGCCGTGTCGTCGGCATTCATGGCAGTCGGGAGCGATCGGGACGAGCAGGTATGAGAAGCTGCGATCAGGATGGGATGGGGAGACTTTGATCTTGTTGACTGTGGACATGGAGCAGGGAGGTCTCGTCTTCGACAGCCGCGATGCTACCCACATGATCGCCATCACCACAACGCAGGATCCGTCCAACAACGACCCCAACGCGTTGGAGGTCTGGTTGAGGGATGGGAGGAGGGTGGTTCTTGGATTCTTCGATCCATGCAAACGAGACGAGTGGATGGATCTGATAGCTCAATGGTCAAATGCGACGAGAAGCAGCAAGCAGCGAGATGTTCTCCCACTGCCGAGCAGAGCTTCGTCAGGCATGACATCGGTCTGTACCCCTTGGGATCCAGCCCTTTGCACGTTGAGAGTCTTGCGCAGGATCTTGACGTGCAGGTCGAACCCAGCAAGCTGGAGAAGAATGCTGGAAGGTGCTGCAGAAGTTCTCCCGTCCTTGATGATCGTCCATGACATGTTGCGCTGAAAGGGTTGTGGAATATCCAGACGGGAGTAAATATGTGGGAGAGTTCAAGGAACTGAAACTTTTGTTCCTCTGCTGCTGAGAGTGAAGATGATGCAGGGGAGCCGTTGGCACGGGACTGGTCGGCTGACAATGAAGAACTCTGTTTATGAAGGGGAGTGGGCTGAGGGTTCGAAGCATGGTTCAGGGGTGTTGTTCTACTCTAGTGGTGACATCTACCAGGTAGTCGGACTTGCCATGCTTGCCTTGTTCGCTGTATTTGCTTGTTGTGCTGCTGAACAATGTAATGTAAAGAATGTTTTGCTCAGAATGCTCAATTTCTCACGTCAATCATGTTGTTACGATGTGCGTCATGTGTTATCTGGGGGTCTTGCTGGTTTTCTCCTCTTGTTTGTTGATGTCTGTTTGGTCAACAGGGAGATTTTCAACATGGCCATCGACATGGAGTTGGCACTTTGTATCACTTCAACGCTGATCAAGCGTCGAGAGTTGAGTTGATGAGGCATGGGAAGGCGGAAGACGCCCGCATCGCCATGTTCTGGAGGACTCTCAAACTGATGCGCAACGGCCTTGTGCGGATGGACAGGTTGTTGGGCATGTCAGTTGATGCGATGCGAATGTAATGAGGAGGAGAAGGTATGAGGGAGAATGGAACGCAGACAAGAAACATGGGACGGGCAACGAGTTCGAACGGTCTGACCAGGTTGGCGAAAAGGATGGTCTTGCAAGATTCTAATGCCTTTGTTTTCTCCTTCTATTTGCTGATTGTGTATGAAGTACCAAGTGGAGTATGACATGGGAAGGTTGATTTCGCGGATCAACATCAAAGATCTCAAACAGATTAACATACCCAAGGATCTCAAGTACAGGTTGCCTCTACTGCCTCTCCCCCCTCCTTTTGCCTTGTCCTGAGATGCTCCTGTTGCATCTTTCGATGGTGAAAATCTCCGGACAGCGTGGATGAGATGGCGATCCAAGAGAATGTCGCGTTCATCCCCAACCTTGTAACCTCCATCAAAGGGCTGAAACCCTTCCAATACTGGGGTAATAAGTTCCTATCCTACGAATCTCCTGGGAGACTGACAACCCCCTAGTTGTCCCAGAGCTCCCAGAAGGAATGGTCCTCGACGCTAACACCGGTACCCGCTCTTCTCTCCTCCTCGCTGCTGTGTCTCAGAGCATGCGAACAAGGCGAGATCTCGGGGGTCGGGCTGAGAGCTTGCTTGAAGTCCGAGTATGAGATCTTTGCTGGGAATGACTACGGCCAATGCAGCACGAAGGCTCGTCCTGCCTTCACTCCTTGCCAACGGTTGACTTGAACGCAGCTAGCGATCACGGTGCTCGAGTCCGAGTGGCAGACTGGCTACCATCACAAGCTTTATGCTGACGGCTCGTCTTACGCGGGAGAATGGCTGGATGGATTGTGGCATGGCAAGGGCGAGCTGAGGTAAAGGCGCAGCAATGCAATCAGTTGCTACGAAGTTACTTTAGAGGAGAAAAGCGATTAGGAGTGGAGGCGTGGAGGAAGGGGAGGGGCGATGACGAGTGAGCATACTGCTGCTGCTGCATTGTGTGAAGGATGAGGAGGATGACTGCCTTAGGTTAGGGAGGGAAGGAGAGGTGAAGTTTTTTGGGGGGGGGGACTGAAAGGAGCAGTGGCAGGATGAACATGAGTTGAGGAAGGAAGAGAAATAAAGGAGAAGCGATCAGAATGAGGACGAGAAGGAGCAGGAGGACAAGGACTAGAAAGAGGATCAGGACAAGGGCGAGGAAGTGGAGAAGAGGAGGAGCTCAAGATAAAGGCATTACAGGTACGCGGATGGCAAAAGTTTTACAGGAGAGTTTCATGAGGGACAGCGACATGGCAGAGGTCTGCTCAAGGATCTCGATGGATGGTACTTCTGCGCTCTGCTCTGCTCTGCCCTGCTCTGCTCGGCTCGGCTCGGCTCGGCTCCGCTCTGCGCTTCTCTGCCTCTCTCCCACCCCTCCATCCCTCTGCATTTCTCCATCTCTTCCCTTCTCTTTCATTCCATACAAACCCGATCCTCCCTCCCTCCCTATCTCGTCCCCTCTCCCAGTCCACTGATCTACCTCCTCTCAGCTTCTACGAAGGAGAGTATGCCAGGGGCAAGCGCCATGGCTGGGGCAGAACCCTCTACATCACAGGCCATCTGTATGAGGTGAGCGCGGTGAACCTGCCGCTAGTTGTCGTCACGTGCTGGAGCAGGGAGAGTGGAGCCAAGACAAGCGGGCCGGCCGGGGGGTGATGTACGACCCGGACGGAACTCGCCATGATATCAGGCCCTGAAGGAATCTTGTTGTTGGACCTCGTGGTTTTTCCGTGCCCAGGCTACAATTTCTCGGTGTCTTTTCAAATGTTCAGAGGGACTGGACTTCCTTGTCGAATGATCAGAGGAGCTTTCTTGCAGTAGACCTTTCCTATCTCAACTAGATCGGTTCGATCACCCGCTAGACCTTGATGCCGTCGACGAAGTCAGGAGCATGCTCCGAAGCATCTGGAAGCCAAGTCACTAGCGTTCACTCTTCCCACCACCTCCTCCTCTTACGAATCTTCTTCACTCCATGTTCAACTGAGTTCTGCCCCAAGGTCCGGTTGGCTTCAGCCAGAGTACGATCTATCCTTGCCATGAGGGCCTGCGGTTGATGTTCAGGTGCGAGCTGAGATGTATTATCATCGCAGTACATCTGTGTCCTCGTCGTCCATCTGCCGCGGGACTTCAACCTGCTGGACGAAGTTTGTCGGAACCGGTTGACTGAGCGCAAGTCAGAACCGTCTTCTCATCGACTCTCCAGCTCACTTTGACATTGATACAAACGAAGATTCCGTGATGATCGGAGCACTTTGTTGCACAGAAAACAACATAGGCTGCGAAGTGACTTGGAGGTTCTGATACTCCTGGAGCTGGAAATTCTGTTGCTGAGGTTGTTTCGATGTCAGGAGACCGCAAAGCAAGGCAGCTACAATTGTTCGCACTCACAACTTCTCTCGTTTCTGTGATGGGTTGTTGATAAAACTGAAGACACACATCAACTTCTTTGCATCGGTTGCATGCAGTTGCCAAGACCTGGTTGACTTTGGTGGAGTAAATTTGAACCGGCTGCGAGATGTATTCATGCTGCACTTGCACCGGTGATCTCTCGACGTATGTGACAGGGAACGGTTGCACTTTATCAAAACAACATCAGTGATCATGAAAAATAAAGAAGAAAACTCCCACCTTGCTGGGTAACAACTTCGGGTTGGTAGATGTATTGGACTGGAGCCACCTGGTACTCTACTTGTGGCTGGACAAAACAGATAACAAAAAAGGCGAAACAAAGGACAAGTACATGTCAGGAAACTAAACATGACGCAAGAGCAGAAACACCTGTTGTATCACTTGAATGTAATCTGGAGGGATGTATTCCTGACAAGAAAAATGTCACCACACTAAATGGCAATGGCTCTAACGCTTTCGGCTTCATCACCAGCCGCTGCTGCATGCTGCTGGCATGCTGCACTTGTCTGTCGACGAACATCACAGGAGCGGCTTGCACTTGTTGCTGGTAGACCATCATCTCCGGGAGATGCTCGTGCCGTTCTCGAGACTCCACAACTATCGGCGCTGGGCGCGATTGCACCAGCGCGCGATCAGGGTACACTTCGGGAGGCGGCTCCTCGGTCTTGCGGGTTTCTACTTGGCTAGAGGACAGGATAAGTCGTTCAGCATCTTCAGAGACGAGGAAGAAGCAAGCAGAACCTCTGAGTTATGAGCGGAGGAGGAGTCATCGCCGGGACCCTGGACGGATCAATTTTCGTTTGAGGTATAAACCATTCTCGGATCGCTGCCCACACAAGTCAGTCAGCTCGAGCCGTCATGGACGGAAATTCTCACTGTCCATTGAGAAATTCGATGTTTTGTTTGAAAGGGTTCGCAGCAGAATATCACCGATGACGGAATGCTTGGCTGCCATCAACAATCAGTCCAACTTGCACCGGCAAACTCACTGCCACTTTGCTGGTATTGTTCACAAGGAGCATGCACACCAGCTATGTATGATCAGTCATGGAATGAAGTGAAGGAGGAAGTGACATTGTGTGCAGATAAACTGTGAATGTGAAGCAAAAGTTCACGGTTGATTCAAACATGGATCGTTTGCTGTTGTACATTGGAAGGGTCGCTAAAAGTTGAGAGCATATCAGAAACGAGGGAGCAATCAACAGGATGGCAGAGGAGGATTCGGCAAGGTGATTCAGCATTGCGAGCATGGAGAATGCACGTGGCGGTCAGCATGGAGGGCAGCCGCAGCGTCTGCCTCCTGGAGCCAGGCATGACCGTACTGCCGTCGGACATTAAGGGGTCCGGCCCGAATCGGAACTTCCGGGTGAAAGGCTGGGTGGTCATAGGTTAAGGGTGGGTACCTGCACAAGCTACCCCATGCTTTTCCGTAAAAAGTACCTAAATGATACGGGTGATAGGTAAGGATATGTGTTATACAGGGGGTCAGGGTCCAGCACTGGACGGTGCAGAATTGTCGGAGTCTGCGACTTTAAAAACCCTTATTTTAATGGTGTAGTGGCCAAAAGAATTCACTACCATAGTTACATTAAAAATGTTTTAATTCTGTACATGAACGAATCATTTTGTACCACAGCCGTTTCGACTCAAATTTACTCACCAGAAAAGTTGATACTAGCCAGGCCCGAGGGAGGCAGTGTAAAACAGACCGATCAGACTTTTACTATCCGATGACCGTACCATCGGACGGCGGTCATCGCCGCCCGGCCCCCGGGTAGCCCGGCGGGCCCGAGCGGGCCGAAGCCCAGGCTCCCGGTACAGCCTCCAAGTCGGATCTACGCCGGTGTGACGGGACTAGGGAAGGCCGCTTTCTTTGGCAACCCATCATCCCGGCGATCGCCAGCGCTGATGGACTCTAGTTGTAGGCATGATAATGCAATCAGTGGCGGGGCGGCGGATGATCCGCACATTCCGAGTTCAGCCTGCCATCGCTCGGCAAACCGGCGTTGAAGAAAATTGAAACGGCAGCGCTGGATCACGCGGCCGGGCCTCTCGGCCTCTCGGACAATGGCGTCCGATGAGAGTCGGACACGTTCAGACGGTCGGCAAGTTCGGACTCGCGGCGCCGCGCGGCGGCGCCGCTGGGCCGGCCCGGCCCCGGCGGCGCCGGGCATGCGGCCATCTGATGGTCCGATCATGGATGGTATTTACTTATTGAAGCCTTCAACGCCGATGATGGCAGCCGGGCGCAGGGCGCCAAGGCTCGCGGCGGGCCCGCGCGGCGGCCAAACACTCCGCCGGAGCCTCGCCCGCCGCCGGTCACTGTCACACACGGCCGGGCGGCGTCACTGACAGTCCGATCCGACAGTCACTATCGCGGCACTGCACTCAGCCGGAGCCCGGCTGGCGCGGCCGCGCTGCGTGTCCCGACTCCCGTCACGCCCGGTGACCTCGGGCGGCCTCGTACCGTAGTACTGATTTTTGCCTTAAAAAGTTTGAGTAAAGTATTGGGGCGCGGACGGTTTCGGTAGCAGCCTCCGATGTCAATAAGTCCTCTCACGTGCGACTCTCCCTGATTCCTCCCCCGCCAACGTGACTCACTTAAAGGAGCTGGTTGACCTTGAGTTTGAACTCTGATCTGCGTTTTGACCTCCGTCTCTCGAGACTTTGACCGATTTGACCGGTGTTTGACCCCGTATATCTGTGGTCAAAGCACGGTCAAAACAGGTCAAGTTGGTCAAATGAGTGGTCAGATGCTGATCAAATCATTCCACCCCCAATTTGACCTGCCTGGTCAAATACACCTGCATGTGCATATAGGCCTCCAAAAATCCTTTCCAGAGTGACGTGGTGGGGGTAGTAAAATGGGGGGTGTGGGGTGGGATATCAGGAGATAAGACCGGCACATCTCGCTGAGATCGAATGGGTCCAAAATATCAAGGTGGGGTGTACCCTCAATTTGCTGTTGAATCCATGGGTGGGTGGTGCTTTTTGTGTTATAAAATGCCCCTTTTTTTTCACTATGTTTTTTAGAATACTAAGGCGGGGTGTAAAGTACCCCCACCCCTAATCCACCTTCTTTCCTGGTAGTCTTATGGTACCCCCCACCCTCTTTCTTCCTGGACCCACCCCATGTCTCCTCACGAAGGGATGTTCTTTCCCCTTCCATGGGCATGAGGACCCCGCCGTCATTTTTGAGATCCACCCCTTCCCACCCACCCCTCTTGACTCTGGACCAATGAGGTACCCTACCCTACTCCTTGAGACCGTCCGCTGTCCACTACTCTAGGCTCTCCCGAAGTTCGCCTCACCCAACGACAACAGATTACCACCCCTAGTATCCGCTCCCCTTTGTTGCTTTGGAAATCAAGTCTTCAAAAGAAAGTCTATTTATTATTTATTTCTCTAATTGATATGGCCACACTGCAGACCCTTTGCTTTCTGACGTGGCACATAACACCCATAACAACAGATCTACCCCTGTTTCCCTCTTTCGATCCACCCACGCCACAATGCTGTACGCCATCAGAACCCCACATGCACTGTACCCCCTTGACTTGTACCCCCACCCCTCAGAATGAAATTCAATTTCCTAGGTTTGCCAGTCTTAAAATTGAAAACTACCCCCTTGCCGTCTTGCCCTTACTACCCACCCCATTGATTGTTTCCAGGTAATACCCACCCTAGTTTTTATCGGTTGAAACCACCCCTCATATGCTCTTTCATATCACCCCACCCCGTATGTCTCTCTCCCTATCACCCCACCTGCCCTCTCCCCGGCTGATCCAACAAAGTCTCAACTACGCGAGGACCCCCAGCACCCTCTTAAGCAATCCACCCACCCTCTGGTTCGAAGTGCAAGTACCCCACCTTTGCGTGGTTTTATTAAGCTGTACCCCTACCCACTGGGGAACTGAGTATTTCATCACCCCTACCAAAAAATTGTCACCCCCCCTAGTATCAGAACTTTGGAGGCTTTATTGGGGTGATCATCCTTGAACTAGAAGATACAACCCATCATCAACTACCCTACCTACAGGAAAAAATATGTTTCTTTGAAACCCCACCCTAAGACCTAGATAACCCCCGATCCCATCCCCACCCCACCCCCACCACCCCCCTCCCTGATTTCCATTCTAATACTCCCTTGACCCTCCCATCTCCCCCATCGACCATGCGCTGTCCCCATCTTCCACGCCCTTCTCCCTCCCACCAGGCGCTTTCCGCCGCCCGCTCATCCGCTCTCCCTCCCTGCTACGCCAACATATTATCCCACTCGACAACTTGCCTACACTTCCTCCTCCTCATCGCCCTTCGGCAGTATCAGCCTGCCTCCTCTCCAGGAATCCTTGTCCATATATTGCTAATCCAGCCATGACATCTTCAATACTGTTCTTCGTGCGCTCAATGTAGATTGCTTCTCTTTTCAGATTAATTTGTTCATCTCTTCAAGCTCCTCCTCCACAACCATCTTATTGCCATTCACTCATCCAAAACATTTCGTGACCACATGTTTTCCGCTTTCTTCCGTGGTTGAGCTTCTCGGTTTGTAATGTTGTTTTCTAATGCAGATTTCCGCAATGGCTCTGCGCTTTTCTTCTTCTATCCTGAGACGCAACTTCTCTGTTTTCTCCTCTGCGGGAAGGTACTCTGGCTGATCCTTTCTGCACATTGTTGGCTGATTCCTGTAAAGACTCTCGAGGGCGACCAGGAAATTTCCCAAGAGCCTGCAGGGCGTCGCCGGTGTTGCCAATGCACTGCGCTCGCATGCCACCCAGGGCGTCACCCGCGGTCAACGAGAGGTGAAGGTCGAAAGTCAGGACTACTATGATGGGCTCTCGGACCACTACTACCTCTTCCAGCAGGTGACTGCTCTTGCTTGCCCGCTGGGGCTTCCTTGTTGTCTTTGTTTGCCTATCTATGCGCGTCTCGAACACTTGAGAGAGAGAAGGTTCTTGTTCTGTTACTTACCGATGCATGAACAAAGAGCGTCCTCTCATCGTAGAGGCGTGTGCCGCTTTGGAAGGGGGTGAGGACATGTTTGACTATCCTGCCCGAGCATAGCACACGCACATAGCTCGATTCCTCACGAACCTACCACACTCTCGTCTCTTGTAGTGACATGTTATCTCTTGTGGCATCATACATCCCACCGATGCCTCGCGTCTCACATCTGCGTCGTGCCCTACAACTTCACAATGTGCTCGCAATCAGCTCTTTTTCTCTCTTTCCGCTCTGTGCAGAGATCAGCAAGCCTTGTTGGGTGACTTGAAGCACATGTCTGAAACGTTTGCAACAGGACTGGGATGGCATGGTGGCCAAGGAGAGACAGGGGTTCAAGGATGCGTTCTTCGGGGAGAACGTGAAGAAGGTAGGGATGCTCTCTGAGGAGTATGGGGCCTTGACGCTGATATCCCTCTCAGGTACTTGATGCCTCCTGCGGCAGCGGCGAGCAGTCGATCGCTCTTGCCGGCATCTCCAAGGATATCAAGGTGATGCGAGTCGGAGCTCCTGGTTTGCTGGGAGTTTGACAGGTCGTCAGGTCACTGCCTGCGATCCCAGTGCGGGGTTGGTGAGCAAGTGTGCTGAGAACGCCAAGAAGTATGGTTTCCACAACGTGAGCAACTGCTGGACTTAGAGGCTGCTGCCTGCTGACGTGTTCCCGCAGATTGAGGCCATCCAGAGTGATTTCCTTGGCCTCGAGCACGACTTCAAGGTTTAACTCGCGGAGGGGGGAGGAGGGGGAGGAGGAGGGAGGAGGAGGGGAGGAGGGGGAGGAGAGGAGTTGATCTTTCGCTTCAGGATCGCTTGGGAACCTATGACGCGATCGTCACCAAGGGCAGGTGAAGTTTTACTACTTGTCCTGTCCATGCTGATCCTCCGTTCCAGCTCCCTCCCTCACTTGTTGACGGACAAGGACCTCACTCAAGCCCTCAAGGTCCTACTCGTCTCAGTCTGCCTGTGTCTTTCGTTTCCTGTGTCTCTGCTCTGTTTCTTCATCCCCCTCTTTTATCTCCTCTTGCCCTCTTCCTCTTGCCCTTCCTCTTTTTCTCTTCTACGATAGCGTTAACTTGAAGTCTCTTGATTTTCCTCCTTCGAGATGCTCCTTGTTGTCCTGCGCACTGGCAACCTTGACTCCTCACCTCTCACTCTCTTCTAATCTCTTGACATCCTTTCAGAACTTCTACAGCCTACTCCGCCCTGGCGGTATCGTCAACATTGGGGTGAGAGACTACGATTACTTCATCAAGCAGAAGACGCAGATCTACCCTCGTCAGGTGACAGGCACATCCTGCTCTTTCCCCCTCCCTACTCGCCTCCCTCCTCTTGCTGCCTCTTCCTCTTGCCTCTTCCTCTCCCTCAGCCTCTCGCTCAGCGCTTGTTGCAGCTCAAGGTCGGTGATGACAAGGAGCATCTCATCTTCGATATCTGGGAATGGCATAAGGTGGGAGGAGGAGGAGAGTAAGGGGGAGAGGGAAGGGGAGGGGGGGAAGGTGGGACAGGGAGCAAGCAGGAGGAGGGAGGTGGGGCGTGCGCATGGAGGGAGGAGGAGGAGCAAGAAGGAAGTAGCGCGCTGTCGTGACAAGTTTGCCAGGGATCTGAGGGACAGCAGCTTGTTAACTTTAACACCTTCCACATCAACGGAGAGAACACGCCCAACTACGTCACCAGGTAGGAGGAGCTCACTATGCAGCGGCTGGTCTGACCGGGCATGCAGCAAGTACATCACTACCTTCCGTGCGCTGTTCAGGAAGGAGATGGAGGACATGCTCGCCAAGGTGAGATGATGATGATGATGATGATGAAGGCTCAGTGATAATGAGATGATGGTGATGGTGATGGTGATGATCCTGTGTTTGTGCCGATGGCAGCTGAGTTTTTGTCACAGGCTGGCTTCACTGAGATCAAGGTCCACAAGATCGACGGGTGGCTCTGGGAGAACGTCTACACTGCTAGACGGCCCAACTAAACTTGTTAAACAAGGTCGCACAATGCGATCAGTACAACTGATGTAACGTTTTAATGAAATTTGAAACATGAATCTTTCTCCTGGGTTATCTAGCACTTACACATGAGATAGAGTGGGAGGAAAGGAGGAGAGTGAGGGTACAAGAGGCAGAGTGAGTGAGAGCGAGGAGGAGGATAGGAGAAGACATCTGATCAACAGGAGGTGGTGCGACACGTTAGGTTGCAGAGGAAGTTTTGACAACTTCTTTCATGGCCCTCCTCATGAATCCGGTGTCGGTGAAACCTGCCAGTTCGTCAGTCGCACAGCACACTTGGTGAAGTACTCTTCGTCCTCGTCCCCGTCCTCCCTCCTCCCTTTCCTTCTCGTCCTTGTCCTCGTCTCTCTTCCGCTCCCTCGTCCTCTTCCTTCTGCTCTTCCTCTCCTCCTCCTCACTTTGTTGGACACTCCAAGGGAGCTCTTAAGCGAGTCGGCCATGAAGTAAGGCTTGTCCTGCCGTCGTTGACTTCGCTGTCGTGCAGGAAGGAAAGGAGGATGCAGTCGATAGCAGCCTCGAACACTCCGATGAAGGCGCCTGCTGCGTACCTGGTGGTATGGCGGTGAGGAAGAAGAGGGGATGGGGGAGGAGTGAGGAGCCAGGAGTGAGGAGGACGAGGAGGAGGTGCTGGTGGAGGAGAGGTGGGGAGGAGAAGTGAGAAGTGAAGAACGTGAGGATGGGAGGAGGAACTGAGAGGATGAAGAGCATAGGAGGCAGTGGGGTTACCATGCTGTGATCGCAACGATAAGCAGGGTAAAGAAAGGAGCGCCGGAAGGCAGGACGTCCTTCTGTGATATATGCCGTTAGAGGAGAGGGGAAGCGAGAACGTAGCAGATGGTAGAGTAGTGTAGAGTAGAGTAGAGTAGAGTAGAGTAGAGTAGAGTAGAGTAGAGTAGAGTAGAGTAGAGTAGAGTAGAGGAGGAGCAGCAAATCAGTTTGAGTCTCACCGAGTAGCTCTGAGCGATCAAGTAGCAGATCGCTAACGTTGCGAGGGTGATGAACAGCTTGCCGAGAAGGAGGAAGAACGGTGTGATCATATTGATCGCTGCCCATCAAGTAAGTCCACCGCCACCGCCACCACCTCCACCCCCTGCTCCTCCCTCCTCTTTCTTCTGCACTTTCCCAGCTACCCCTCCTCCACCAAAACCCCTCACGCCTCCTCTCCCACGCTCATGTTTTACCAGCAATCTGTAGAATATTTCTCATGATCAACAAGAAGCCTTTCCATGCCCCTTTGCAGAATGAGTATCCTACATGTCATATCAGATCGAGTCGCAATCCTGCCGCAACAGAGACCCACGACGTGATGGATACCAACATAATCATTCCATGTGTCACATCATGATGTCAAAGATCGGGTATCTTTACACATCATCTCATCTCACGTATCATTTTGTCCTATCTCATCTCATCTCATATCAAAATACACGATACAACATCCACTGCAACATCACATCACATCACA